TAAATTAAATTGAAATACAAAAGTTGTACAAAAATATTTGACAGTAAGTACTAAGTATATTGCAAGGCAAGAAATATGTAAAACAAATTATTTAGATAATTAGATAAATAGATATATTAGATTTATTAAGAGCGTCAAGTATAAAATGTATTAGAAGTATTGAAGTATAAATTTAAAATTATTTAAAATACTGCTCTCTCCCAATATTAGTAATAGTAAATTATAATCTAAAGTAGGTACCTAATTTTATGCATATATCACAACTTAACTAATAAAAATATTAAAAAAGAAATTTGAAAATATTGTTCTATAAAATATCTAATAACAACAAAATTACATTTTGTTTACCTACCTACTTCCTAAGAACCACAATAAAATAAGTTATTTAACTTAAATTTAAAAAGTGATTCACAATTTATTATACGAATTTAAAATAAATACTTATGAATTGCATACAAATTACAAAATGTAGGTATAATGTTGACCCGTTTTTGTTTTACTAGCATATAATATTATAACAATATGGAGTAGGTAATATAAAATTCAAATTATAAAATATACAATAGCCATATCTAAATAACTGAAAAACAAAAGAAAATGTAAAGAACAATTAGTTTTTTTCTGTTACTAATCATCAATATTATAGTCAATTTTTAACCAAAGGTATAACTTTATGCATTATAACTAGTAAAGTTAATGATAAAAATAATAGTTTACTTCAACTAACCTATTTTCATTAGACGGCGAGCTTCCATTTCTCTATAACTTTTACACGATATACCATTATGTACTACCGATTCTAATGCTTTGTCAATATCTGATCCAACCATTCGACGTTTCTTAACTTGTCTATGTTCATCGGTGAAATTCCCAATGTATGTGCATTGCATAAGAACTCTATAAATGTATAAATAGGTAGGTAATTAATATTTTAATTTAGTTTAATATAGATTTTATAGGCAAGATTGATGTAGTGGACACAGACTATCGAGATACTAAGCTGCAATACTAAGTTCAATAAATTTAAATATTAATAAAATATGTTTTAAATTTAATATTATAATAGTTAAACTGAAAAAAAATTATTAACTTTGTATTAATGGAAAATTTGAAAATAAATTAATTTTGTTCCTTTGTAGTAATATTTTGTAATTATTATTATAAAGTTACTAATAGGGAATTGGAGTATGAACTATTATGTTATTGGTTGCGTATCAGTATATTATAAATTATATTACCTACATTCATCATACATTAGAACCTAAATTTTCAAATATAGTGTAGGTAATCATAAATTACAATTTTAAAAGTCAACAGACAACATTAGGTATAACAGTACATAATAATATAATAAAGGTACTAATTTGGTATTATTATAAAAGTTTTATGTTTGGAGCATTATAGTTTTGTTTTTATTATTTTTGTTTACCTAATAATGATTCTCATGTTCCAAAGTCTTAAATATATTGTAAATGTAAATTTAGTTTTATAATTATGAAATAAAAATATATCTTGAGTTGCCAACGGGTTTCTCTCCAATAATTCCTTTAAAGTTGGACCCACATATAGAACATATTCCAATGACACAAACATATATAAGATAAACACATATAACATATATATCCTTCATTGAGCACTTTAGATCTCTTAAAATAGATACAACAAGGAAGCTGTGTGTGCTCCCAAAAGTGTTCAGCTATCACTGGACTCCATTTTCCTCTTGGTAAAACATAAAAAGAGCGACAACTGCTCATAGGCCTAGATTTATCGTTTAATTTATATACGACTTCCTCAGGCTGAATTTGATGCCACTCATTTGACGAAAATGTGATAACAAATTCTTTTTTTGGAAGATTGTTAGAGTCTTCGCTGCTATATGATTCTATTAAAAGAAAATTAATATAGTTAATTAAAAATAATTATTAAATATAAGTAATTAGTACATATAATATAAAGGTATTAGGTACTGCTCATTATTATATTGTTATAGGTAATAGTTTTAGTAGAATCATCCTGTAGTAATTCGTCTGCAGTTTGTAAAGCAGCAGAAGTTATGACTTGGTCGATAACTGGAAGAAGTCTTAAGAGTTTTTTTTTACCATGCCTTCCATTGTGGACTAACAAATGTAAAGCCCCTTTACTTATTGCCCCATTAAAATGCTTACTTATGTCACTCCATACATCATTTGTCGCAACAGAAATTTCTTGAAAAAACGATAAATATTATATATTATATAAATTAATGTTTTATTATATTATAGCCAATGGGTAATATAAGTAATTTAATTTTAAAAAAAATGGCATATATATAAATATGTAGATATTCACATTGTAAGTAGGTACCTGTTATAATATTGTACTAGCAGTTAAAATATGATTTGTTGTAAGTAATACATGGAAGTAGACATATATTTATTTACAAGACAATAATAATAAATCTTAATAAAGAAACAATAATTTTTTTATGGTAGGTATGAAAAAATGCATAAAGACTTAGATTCAAAAGTTTTTAAAAAATATTTTATAATTAATTTGGTAACTTTAAAAAATCTCTTACTTCTTAGGTACTCCATTAATTCCTGAACGACTATCTCTGAATCGAAGCACCGTTTGGACTATCTTGGCAGGATTAACAGATGCATTACGTCCTCTCATTTTAATAATTTTTAATTCAATTAAATTGCGGATTTAAATGTATTAGGTTTCAAAAAGTACTTGTTCAATGAACAACGAAACATAACACTGAGCACGTTAAAAATAATGTATAATATAATATTAGAAACAACTAGTTCTAATAGTAATAATATCATGGCTATTAATATTTAATATGGTTATGTAAATAATATGAAAGTATTTTTAGATTCTTTCTTCAAAGTGGAGCAATAATAAGCAAGATTTTCAAGGAGAAAAATAATACGTATTGATTCGTTCCGATATGCTCCGGAAACGAACTTGAGTGTTTAAAATGTTTACGATACGTTAAAACGTTACAACCGTGATACGTATCTATTCGTACCGGATTTTGATGTCGGTACGTGGCTTACGACCGAATCATTTATAATATGGCGGGAAATTGGATTAATATTAAACATTTAAATTTAGATTGAATATATTGGTATAATTATATTGCAAGACATATACGTAGTTGATTAAAAATAGTATAGAACCTTAAAAAGTTATTTGTTATTTGTCAAGAAAGATAATGAATGAGTTATCTTTTTTTAACTAAGAATTATTTTTATTTAATTTTTTTAAATTTTTATTTAACGATGGAACATCTAATGGATGAAACAATTAACGTTTATGTTTACAACCATTGATTATATATACTAGTATATACACATAAATTAAACTACGTAATAGAATAGTACTACAGAATGTTGTTTTGTTAATTATTTAGGTATGTAATGATTGCACTGAGGTTTGTTTCGGTACAGCAAAACACATTTGTAAGAGTAAGAATATTCCAAAAAGAAAAACAAATTCAGAAAAAAGGTAGTTTTAAAATAAAATAACTTACCATTAACATTAAATTCAATACATTTTATGGAACGAATGCAGTTTAGCTCCCAAGTGATTTTTTTTTAAGCATGCTCACCCCATTTTTATGCTTAAATTATGCATATATTCAAATTCTGATTTTTGGAATTTTTAAGTGTATTTAAAGACGATATTTTCGGGTACTTAGATTTTTCAAAACATTTAAGGATTATCCTGTGGCGATGCCAACTTTGGTTTTTCAAGTGACAACATATATATTTTATAACAAAACCTGAATCTGCTTATTTTTCTGAAAATGTTGACGTATTGTAATTGAAATTTGAACGAAAACTTCCGGAGTTATTCTTCTTCAAATACCAAGGAATAAGGATAATAGATGGACTATTATACGAAATGCTTTCTAAATGGATATGAGGCATGAGCTGGATAGTGGTAATTCGGTATGCAATATAAAATATTCGTTAACAATATTACTAGCTACTAAATTCTTATGAATTAATATAGGACATTAACACCTGACAATTATTTTCAAAACAAAGGAAATATAAAATAATATCCTTTTTATTTTATCGAGTATGTTAAAAACTTATACAGTATACACATTACACCTACCTACAATAAAATACTGAACAATAGTAAATTATAGTCGGTAAGACAAATGCGACATATTTACATGATTCCACAGTTCTAATATGTATTATGTAATAATCAATCAGAAATACATATCATAATAGAAATAAACATAGCTACCTACTACATATCTGGTTAGCTTCTATATTACGCGAGTGCTATAACTTTAAGATAAGAAATAAAAGATCATTGCTATGAAATATAAATATAAATAAATAGGGACCGACCACTATGAAAGATATTACACTGGTTGTACTTTGCCCTCTTCTTCGCCCTATACCAGGCGTGCCCAACCCGCGGCCCGCGGGCCGCATCCGGCCCGCGAAGGTGTTCCAACCGGCCCGTGACCATTTTATAAAAATTAAAAATTTATATAGGTGTAAAAAAATGTATTTTATTAAGTTTTTAAGAATATAAAATATTTTAAAATTTTTAATTTTTATATAAAAAAAAATTCATTGGATTTTAGAATATTAATAGAAATAAATTGGTGTAAATGTAAAACATGCTACCTACAAATAAATAAATAATTAAATAATTTAAGTATATAATACATTTTAGAATATAAATAGCAATAAATTAGTGTGAAATTTGGGCTTGTTTTTCTTTAACAAATCTTTCAATATTTGGAGTGAAATGTGTAACGCCAATTCTTAATAAGGAGTGTAAGTGTTCATCAGTCAAACGAGATCTTTCTGAACATTTCACGTAATTCATGCGCGAAAACGTTTGTTCGCAAATATAAGTAGAACCAAATAATGTAAATATACGCATTGATAATTCTTTAATTTTTGGAAAATCATCAGTAAGAGTCTTATAAAAATGTATTAAATCTGTATTTTTATCTGTGATATCTTTATATAAATCTTTCAAATGATTATTTGTTTTTCATGAACATTATTTTCATGAACATTATTTTCATCAGACAGAAGTGGATTTTCAATCAGCCGAAATGAAGTCATATGTGATTTGAAATCTTGGAAACGGTTTTCAAATTCTTTTGATAATTGTTCCAACATACTCACAAAATGATTTGTCGGAACGTCAATTAAAGAATTTTGTTTAATTTCTTGACACGTTTTAAAATGTAACAAATTTTGCTTTAATATTTGGTTTTTAAAAAGTTGTAATTTTATTTCAAACGATTTTACATCACTTATAAGCTCGAAAATAGTTTTTGATTGTTTTTGAAGTTTAAGATTTAATTCATTTAAATGAGCAGAAATATCAGTTAAGAAAGCAAGATCGTACATCCATTGTTCGTTTTCAAATTCTTCTACTGGTTTATTTTTTTCTATCATAAATATTTGAATTTCCTGCCGAAGGTCAAAAAAACGTTTTAATACTTTTCCTCGACTTAACCACCTAACCTGGTTATGATACAAAACATCTTTATGTTCCGATTCAATTTCATTTAAAAATTCTATAAATTGTCTATGTTTTAATCCGTGCGATCTAATGAAGTTCACTGTTTTTGTAACAATATTCATCACATGTTCCAAATTCATAATTTTACCACACAGAGATTGTTGATGAATAATACAGTGTAAAAATATAGGTGTTTCAATCATTTTTGAAGTTGTTAACTCAGCTATCCTCCCAACTAATCCCGTATTTCGCCCAACCATATTTGGAGCTCCATCTGTTGTAATACTACAAAGTTTTTCCCAGGTCAGTCCTAAATTTTCAATACAACAATTCACTTTTTCAAAAATATCAGCACCTTTTGTAGTTCCAGAAATACTTTCTAATGAAGCAAGTTCTTCTGTTATATTATAATCTGTATCTATTCCTCGTATAAATATTAATAATTGTGCAGTATCTGACACATCAGTGCTTTCATCCAAAGCTAAAGAAAAAAATGTAAACGTTTTCGATTTTATTTGTAACTTCGTCATTAAATCACCTCCAATGTCTTCTACCCGCCTAGTAATAGTATTTCGAGACAAACTGATATTCTCGAATACAGACATTTTTTCCGGAATAATTTCTTTTACACTTGCCAAGATACATTTTTTTACAAATTCGCCATCACTAAAACTTTTATTTTCGCGAGCTATCAGGTTAGCTACTTCATAACTTGCTCGAATAATCTCATCTTTACCTCTATTATATTTTTCAAATACATTTCCGACGCGTTCACTTTTGAAATTTTGTTTGAATTTTTCTAACAAAGAAGTTCTAAGATTCCCTAAAATTTAAAATTTAAATCCAAACTTAGTTAGCGAAATACCTAAATACCCACTTCAGAAAAATAAAAAAATATGATAAATATTTACCTTTACAATTGACGTATTTGTTTTGATGTTTACTTTCATAATGTCTTTTAATATTAAATTCTTTAAAGACCGCCACGGTTTCGTAGCATATCAAACACATAGCTTTATTTCGATACTCGATAAAAAAATAACTTAGACTCCAATTATCATTAAAAATACGGCATTCGGTATCAATTTTGCGCTTTTTATTTTGAGACATCTTAATGTGAACGTACAATTTCTAATGACGAAAACAAACTAACAACTATAGCGTGGAAATATTGAGAACTTTAAACACATACGATTTGAGTCATAAATTCGATAAGTGAACAAAGATAATATTATATCCGATAAAATGTACAATAGATATACCTATGACTAGTCTATATTTTATCGAAATGAACAAAAAAAAAAACCCATGAAGCATATACGGCCCGCAGTATAAATATAAATTTCGAATGTGGCCCGCAAGTTAAAAAAGGTTGGGCACGCCTGCCCTATACCTAATGATTTATAAACGACATTTATACACAGATTTCTATATAGTACTAGATAGCGATCCTTATCTAGTGTAGTATAGAAGTCTGTGCATTTATATTTTATTTAAAACACAGATACCAAATATTGATAACAATAAACAGTGATATAAAATATAAAATGTAATACAAGATGGCTATTTTATAAATAAGTTTTTAAAAACAATTTTGGTGTTTAAACATTTTAATTAGGTTTAGTCATTAACTTTTAAATAATTTTCAAAGTTTGTTAAAATCACAGATATCTGTGGTTAAAATTCAAATTTATGTCTTGCTTATCACTAGGGCTCGGATTTATATGTATTAAAAAAACCAAAATATGTAAATATATATGTAATAATAAATCACTTTATTTGTGATTAAAAAATGAAAATATGGAATATAAAAAAATTACAAAAAAATATAAAAAATTGCTTTATAAATTACATCATTAACTAATCTACTTATTTTACTACTATAATTCATTATTCATTTTGACTATCTTGGTCTTGAAAGCAATGAGATACCATATACATGCTCAAATTTTCAAAGTTAAATAATCTACGATTTGGTCGTAACACAGATTTGTACCGACTGAAGGAGCGTTCGACTTCTACTGAGGTAATGGGTGCAAATTTCATATTTGCAATGTCCAAAGCAGTGAGTTCAGCCGGAAATATTACCCCATTAATTTCGCAATGTGTATCTCTAATTAATTTTAGGCAGTCTAAACCAGGATTTTTATGTAATACGCTGTGCATTTTTCTTTTACTGCAACTCCCAAGGGTCCTTGTACTTGTTCTATGCATTTTTCAGCTTCTTCTATAAGTCCTAAACTTTGAACTAAAGTCATTTTTCTTGTTTCTAGTTGTTTTATTGTATCTTCTAAAAATCCAAAATTAACAGATATATTAATTAAATTATTTTTAATATCATCTATATTTAATAAATGTTTCGCTTTTTGAATAGAAACTGCTGAAGTAGAATCCAACGTTGATACAACATCTTTTATTTTTTCAAAGTTTTCGCAATAGTATTTGACTGCATTCAACCATGTCCCCCATCTAGTAATTATTGGTTCTGGTGGAAGATTCAAATTTGGATACATTTCTTTCAGCTTTTCTACACGACTTGGAGCTTTTAAAAATATTTTTTTACCTCAGAAATTAACTTGTCTACTTTACTAAATTTAGCTCTAATGGTTTCTCCAACTCTATGAAGTCCATGAGCTAAGCATGTTAAGTGAATCATCTTTGGGTAAAATACATTAATGGCAACTGCGGATTTCACCATATACGGCGCTGCATCAGTTAAAAACAATAATACATTTTCGTGTTTTACACCTTTTGGCCATAATAAACTCATCGAATCGTTAAATAGTTTGGCTATGGTTTTGTGGTTGCATTTTTCTAACTGTGTACAATTTAATAAAAATGGTTTAGAAAAGGTTTCACTTAATTTTCCAACAATAACATTTCCAACCATTCTACCTTCAACGTCTACTGTTTCGTCGATCGAAACCCATATAGGGCCATCTTCAATGATGTTTCTAATAGAATTAAGTGTTTCCTGGTAAATTTCTGTCATGTTATTTTTTCTAAGAGTACTTTCGTCAGGAATTAATTGCCCCGTATACTTTGTTAAAAAAGCATTCAATGATTTATTTTCCAACTTGGAGATCGGAATATCCGCATGTATAAAAGCACGACAAAGTTCGGAATTAAACGAGTTTTTATTACCTGAAGAAGTACTGGTGGAAGTAAAAAACTGCTGTTTGAATTTTTGTTGTCTTATTTTACTCTCTTTGTGTTTGGCGGTCCCTATATTTTGTACTACTAAAAAACGTTGTTCAATGGAAACAGATTTTTCACACGCAGAACAGTACAAAATCTCACCATCGCTCTGAAAATGTTAGTTTGGAAATTCTAGTACATAGTTTTTAGCTTTTCCAACTTTGGACACTCGAACTTTCGGCATAATTTAACACTAACACGGCCAACTCAAAATTACACGTCTAAATAAACACACGTCCCGTTCGTCGATGTGGGTATACTGACTCGCTGTCGCCTGTCAGTACTTCAAACGCATACACGTATTAATAAATCGTTATCTTAGATAACTTATCTATCATTTATCGAGGTAACAAATGTCGAATATAATATTATATCGACCGTAGATTACGGTTGATTAGTTCAATAATTGGTATTATTTTGTTTACGTACTTTTTGAAACATGGGAAATCGTACATATATAATTTGTACATTATACAACTATTAATAAATCGTAAATTGTCGAAATATGTAGGGAAAAATGGAATTATTGAGAAATATGTAAAAATATGTACTTATGACAAAATATGTAAAAATATGTAAAATAAAATATAGTTCATTACAATGGAAATCCCTTGAAACGAATTTATCACTTACCTAAATTAATTTATCAAGTCACAGTAAAAATATGTATTTACATATAAATCCGAGCCCTACTTATCACTTATCAGTGTTACGTCAATTAATGTTGATTTGAATCATCGAGATAGATAAACAATACTGGAGCGCGTACACTGGTTCTGAAAACGAGCCAAATTTTTAAACGCTTCCCCCACCACTGCAGGGCAAGAAAATATCAGTTTACATTCTAACCTAACCTTTTTATAGTGATTTAATATTAATTATTAATTAATATAATATAATTATTACGATTCGGCAATTCGGCATCGGAATTTCGTTCAAGTTAAAAATTAAAACTCATAGGTAATTATTATAAATAATAATATGGTTGTATCATGTTCAGGGTATGGGTGTACAAATAGGCGACAGAAAAAAAACGGGATACATTTCCATCGGTAAGTGTAATACATATTTGAATATTTCTATCAAAAATCAAAATCTCGTCTCATAATTTTCAATGAACACACTTTATAATTCTAGATTTCCTCTAAAAAGACCAGACGTTTTAAAAAAATGGTTACATGAAATACGACGAAAAAATTTTACACCCAACCAGTACAGCTATTTATGCAGTGAACATTTCACACCTAGTGATTATTTAAATGAATCTCGTCCAGAGTTAGATAAGAAGTTGCTAAAAGATGAAGCAGTTCCATCAGTCTTTAAATTTCCTCATAATTTACAAAAAAAAAACAAAAAGCTAGTCGTCCACTACTTCAAAATCGTCAAAAGGTTAGTCTATTTTTAAAAATTTAATTGTAGGTAGTTTAAAAATATCTACCTACACTATACATACAATTTACAATATATTATAATATTATAGATACTAGTATTATGTTATGTACTGTATTATTTGACAGCTACTAATTTTCCAATTAATTTACATACTACATAATATATTTTAGTGCACCTACCTATAATAATATTATTTACTACCTACTTAAATATATATTTTTTTCAATTGCTTAAAAGCAGCGTTTTTATTTTTATTTTATTATGTGTACTCAAATACCTACTTAAGTATAATAATTAATAATGTATACAAATTTATTAAATTTGTTATAGGCCAATGATCAAAATAATATGATTCATGCAGAAATAGTTAATGAAGCTGGCGAAGATTCATCCACTAATACCATGGTATTATCAAATTGTTTAATTTATAATTTATTTGGATTTTAAGTTAATACTCATATTAATAAGCTCTTATCTGGTAAATGGTAATGAATAATTATCTGTTGTTTAATATCTAATGTTTGTAGTTTTACCAGAGTGAAACATCTCACCAAAAGGAAGATAAAATGGTACAGTGTAATATTAAAACTTTTAATAAAAATGGTACCAAAACAAGATTAAGATATTACAACAACGATTGAAAAGAAGAAATAGTAAAATTAAATCATTAAAAGGTAATTTTAACTATATACATGTATAACCATATATTTTAGATATTTAATCAAGATTTTTTTTTAGATCTGATTCTAAGAATAAAAAAAATTGTTACATATTCTGATGAAATAACTCAAATGCTGGAAGAAAATTTTGGTGGGTTTCCATTAACGTTATTATTGCATGAACATAAGTCTAAAATGCTTCATAAGAAGGGTGTTCGCTATACAAATGCTATGAAAGACTTTGCTAAAACCCTTTTTTTTTATTCACCTAAAGCTTATAAATATGTACGCAAAATGTTCACGCTACCGCATCCTTCAACTATTAGAAAATGGTTAAGAAGTACAGAATGTGAACCTGGCTTCTTGGAAGAAGTATTTTTGTTTTTGAAACAAGAAGTTTCTAAAAATTCTTGGCTTCGAGATTGTTCACTTGTTCATGATTCAATGTCTTTAAGAAAGCAACTAGTTTGGGAAACAGATAAAGGAAGATATGCAGGAAATGTTGATTTTGGTACTGGTGAAAATTGTGAATTAGCAACTGAAGCTTTAGTATTAATGATAGTTAGCTTAACTATACTCCGGCCCACGAAAGAGTATTACCGTTTTGCGCATGCAGACTGACGGCGGAGACCATTCCGAGGCCCCATTTCCCCCACTATTTCCGCGACCGCTATACACCGTATAGCGTTGAGCGCTGCCGACCGGTACCGAACAGTTGTCGGCACATGCCGAGTAGTGAGGAATGCGCGGAATCGGGCGAGTTTTCGTCGGGCGACGGTAATACTCTCTCGTGGGCCAGAGTATAGACAGTTTAAACGTCCTATTGGTTTTTTTTATGTCAACAAAATTAACAGTAGTGTTTTAAGTACCTTAATATCTACTTCTATTATTAACCTTCCAGCGGGCGCGCTGTTGTAAATAATACAACAGTTTTATATTTATTTGTTTATTCAACTTTTATCTAATTTTTATCTTATCGGCGGTCATGGGTATTCCTCTGTAATGTTATTATCTACGTTTTAGACTATTTTTGAAGTGTTTCAGTTCACTTTATTGCAGACAATCGACGAAGTACTTATAGTGTTGTGACAAAATACAACACGCGCCATTCCGTGTACCTACGCCAAACACAAAACGCGCCGTTCGTTGTATCTGACTTATTATTTTGTAATTTTTATTTTTGTGTGGTAATAAGAACAAAAATATGTAAGTATTGTTTTATATCACTATGCAATATATAATTATAGTATATACATTTTAATTTTTTTTATAATATGTTTTTTTTTATTATTTTTATACGTTTTGGTACGTACTAATAATCGATATTATTTATACTATGTCTTAGGTCGGATCATATGACAGTTGAGCAAATTCAAAGTTTACTGCAAGACATTTCAACTGAAATAGACTGTGTTGATGACCAAGAGAGTGATAGTGATCTAAGCATTGAAGATGTGGAGGCAAGTGACCACGAAAGCAATTCTGAACAAGATTTTTCAGACAATGAATCAGATCTAGAGACTAGTTTGGGGGACAGTGCATTCTATATAGGAAAAGATAAAATAACTAAATGGCAACAAAAAGAGTGTACAACTTCAAAAATTAGGCAACATAATATAATAAACGTGGTTCCCGGTCCAAAGGAGTGTGCTAGAAATATCGTTAGTGAGATAGATGCATTTCTAAAAATAATTGATCTTGACATGATTGACGAAATCGTAACGTGCACTAATATGTATATTAGTAATATGAGACAACGAGTTCAATACTCTAGACCCCGAGACTGCTTAGATACTTCAAGATGTGAAATACTGGCTTATTTTGGACTTTTATTTTTGATTGGTATAAAGAAAGCTCATCATGCTAATGTAAAAGAATTATGGTCGGCGGATGGTTCTGGTATAGAAATAACTAGGGCCACTATGAGCTACAAAAGATTTTTGTTTTTGTGTCGCTGCCTCAGATTTGACGATCGCGAAACTAGAGCTGAAAGACGGATGATTGATAAACTGGCTCCTATTCGTACTACGTTTGACCTTTTCTTGAAAAATATCAATCAGAATTATAATTTGAGTGAATATACTACTATTGACGAAATGTTACACCCATTTCGTGGTCGGTGTCAATGGATACAGTATATCCCAAGTAAACCGGCCAAATATGGCATCAAAATGTTTGCATTATGTGATGCAAAAACATTTTACACGAGTAAAATAGAGATTTATGTTGGAAAACAACCACCTGGTCCGTATGAGGTTTCTAATTCACCAATTGATATCGTGAAACGATTAGTAACACCCATCGAAAACTCTAAACGAAATCTTACCACTGACAACTGGTATACCAGTATTCCACTTGCAGATTACTTATTACAAAAAAAATTACTCTAACTGGAACTTTGAAAAAAAACAAGCGAGAAATACCTACAAAATTTTTACCAGATAAAAAAAAAGAAGTTGGTTCGAGCGTGTTCGGGTTTCAAAAAAATAAAACATTAGTGTCATACGTACCACGAAAAAACAAGGCAGTTATTTTGCTTTCAACTATGCACCATGATTCAAAAATTGATGTAGAAACTCGTAAACCAGAAATAATTATGGATTATAATTGTACCAAAGGTGGAGTTGATACAGTAGATAAAATGTGTGCGGCATATTCTGTCACTAGAATTACAAAAAGGTGGCCACTTGTAATTTTTTATTCTTTGATGAATATTGCTGGAATAAATGCTCAGGTACTGTTTTCATACTCTAAACATAACAATGCCCCTAAAATGAGAAGATTATTTTTGAAAACATTGGCATTTGATCTAATGAAGGAACATCTTGCTTCTCGAGCTCAAATCTCAAGTTTACCATCGGACATATCATCTTTTTTGAAAATAAAATATGCTGTTCCAAGTACATCAGATGTATCTACAACCCCCCCTTCAAAACGAGGAACTTGCTTCGAATGTGGGAGAAAAAAAAATGCGGCTACATCTATGAAGTGCACCAAGTGTATGCGATTTATATGTAAGCTACATTCAAAAAAAATTATTATTTGTGAAAAGTGTTCTAATAACGATGACAATGACAATTCTGAATAATTTCTTACTGTAAACAAATACTAAAAATAATTTTAATTTTTTAAGTAATAATAATAAGACGTATTGATTTTTTAATAGAACATAATTATAATAGTATTTAAATAAAAACAACTTTGTGAACGTACCTATTGTTTATTTTATTATTAGATGTAATATGAACGACTATCACAGCATATTAGGACTGTTGTAAAATTTACAACGCGCGACCTGTCTTGTTTCAAATAATGGCGCGCCCACTGGAAGGTTAAACTTAATGAGGTTGGAATACAAGTATGGAATGTAACTTGCGATGGTGCTCCTTCTAATTTACAAAGCTTCAAAAAATTAGGCTGTAATTTTGAGACGCATAGTTTGAGCAAAAAATGTACTGTAAATAATGCAAATAGATCAATTGAAGTATATTCTATTTTTGATACTTGTCATATGCTTAAACTTGCTAGATCTTCTTTGGCTGATAAACAAATTATTCAATCTAATATTGGTGATATTAAATGGCAGTACATAAGCTCTCTAAATGCATTTCAAAATGAACTTGGCTTAAAATTTGCTAATAAATGAAGTTCACAACATATTAATTACAAAAATTCTATTATGAAAGTGAAGTTAGCTGCCCAGACACTCAGCAGTGGAGTAGCAGATGCAATTGAATACTTACAGCAAAAAGGTGAAACATCATTCCAGAACAGTGATGCTACAGTATATTTTATAAGAGAAATAGATCGAATATTTGATATCCTCAATTCCAGAATACCATTTTCCAAAGGTTACAAAAGTCCTATAAACCCAGGTAATATCGCTACAATAAGATCGGTTTAACATCTGATTATTTAAAAACTTTAAAATGTGAGAATAACCTCTTAATATTGGGTGGAAGGAAAATGTTTATTTTAGGCTTCATAGTAACTATGTATAGTACCATAGAAATTGCATATAAGCTTCTTTATAGATCCCAAAATCCTCTTAAATATGTTCTGACTTATAAAACTTCACAAGACCTGAGACGGCACGGTCACTACGGACCGGCGTCCGGAATAAGAATACGTAGGTTTTGGTATTACGTCTTATCCTTTATTTATTGACAAATTTATTTATATACAAAATGTGGGTAGCGAGATTCACGGGTGCGACGGCTGGCCTGAATAGACGGACCGTCGCGATGAGAGCTCGGCGCGACCGGCGGAAGCCTGGTCCTATATACAGAGATGGGAGATGTTTGGAATATCGGTGTGTTACAATCACCGTACGGACGGGGTCGATATATCGTTGCGCGTGACTCGCTGGAAGCGGCTACAGCTATATATCGTACCCGGGGTTTGACACAACTCAATCAAGTGGCCAGGGGGGGACGAAGAGGTTAGTTGACTCTTGATTGGTGGGTCGGTGTTGGCGGCTGGTCTTCTGGTCCTTCAGGCGTGCTGGCGGGTCGTCGTCCACGTTGCCTCGCTGAGTTCTGGATCGGCGTGTGATTGGTGGCGGCGGACTCTCGGTTGTCGTCGGCGGGTAGCAGTCGATCACGGAGCGCTGGGTCACGTGTGTTGGCGTTCAACGGCGGGCGGCAGTGTTGTTTGACGGCGGGCTTAGGTAATTCGATCTGGAAGCGAGTTACGGCCGGCTCACGATTGTCGTCGGCGGGTAGCGGGTTTCGTCGGATGGTCAGCTCTTCGTTTCTTCTATGTATTGTAGTGTTACTGGATAGAAGGTTGAATGAAGACTGATGATGTGTGTCCGAAATCGTCCGGTATATATACTGTCTTCCGTACCGAATTGTAAACCGTGTGCAATCGCCGTGTGCGGTTGTGTTTCCGTTCGGTACGGAAAGTGATCTTGTTCACCCCGCTTTGGGGCTGTGTGTACGGGGTTGGGGCTATTGGCTTCGTGGCAGCTTCCCCTGCATTTATATTCTGGATTTATGTATTTGGGATAAATTGGGGCCCTGTAATGTGGGTTCCAAGTTGTCCTGGTCGTTTGTGCGGTAATACTGCGTTCTGATTTCTTGGTCCTGAGAAGGACCGTTTTATGTCGTGCGCTGGCGTACCGTTACAGACCACATTGAACTTTTTTTTGGGTGTATTCGAGCTAGGGGTGGGAACAATAATAACCCAAATTGTGTTCAATTTAAAAAAACCTTGAGGCAATTATTGTACACCAAAAATATTATTGTTGAGAATGGAAATTGCTCATATTATGAAATTCCCGGTGGAGATATATTGGATTTTCGTTCTGAAAAAAAGAAGTATTAAAAAATCTATTAATAATGATGATGTTTTTGATGAGTTGGATGTGTTTGGTGATGAATATAAAAATCTTTTATCCAATTTATATTTAAAAGAATATACTGGCGAAATATTAGATTATATTGCTGGATATATTGTAAGAAATATATCTAGAAAAATAGTTTGCCCTTTTTGTATAGATATATTAATTGATGGACAGTCTGACCATAGCTACACAAAAAATATAAACTTTACCTCTTTTATTACCAGAGGAAAATTAAAAATAGTTTCTCCTGCTGTTTTTTTAATTCTTAAAGAATTGGAAAAATCCTTTCAACTTATTGTGGTCATGCAAAAAAAACTACATACAAATGTAAAAACTAATATTTTAATGCTAGCAAGGAAGAATATATTAAATAAGTCAAATTTATTCTTTTTTCCTTATACTCATCCTATAAATTTCGAACTTGGTTCTCCTAGTCATGAGCATAAACTATTCTCAGCTCTTAGTGAGAGCTACATAAATATTAGAATGCGACATTATGCTAAAGAAGTTAATGCAAAGGAAGTATTAAAAAATAAAAGTTCTTTGAGACAAAAATTAACTAAACTAATATTATTTCAAAATGTTTAAAAATTAAATTAAAATTTGTTTTAATGTTTAAAATGTAAATTTTATAAAGATATTCTATTTGTTCTAATGTTTTTAAATTGTATAAATATTATATTGTATTTGTATTGATTTAAAATAAATAAATGTTATAAATATATCTTATTTCTTCTTCTTTTTTTGTGTTGAATTTGTATTTATTTTTTCCCATTTCCTACATTACCTATTACAATATTATATTTTAATATTCCAAATTAATTATTTATCATATAGTAATAAGTACCTACTTAAAAAGTTAAATTTTTGAATATTGTTGTAATTATTTCAATACAATATGGTATACATGGTATTAACTATTAATTTTAATTTAAATGGATGACTGAATGACTGATTAAATTATTTATATTCTATAAAATTTGGATTATAATATTATTGCTTATGTTTAAAGGTAACTGGTTAGCTGTAAACACGATAAATGTCTATATTATTCGTTTTATACTTTTGTTATTTGTGCAGCTATTTATTTTTATTTTTCTGTTTAAAACTATATCGCTGTATAGTAGGCTTGTTAACAAGTACAAATAGTTTTTAATTTTTAAAATCGGACGAGTGGAAGTACTTAAATTATTATGAGGCGTTTATGTTCTCTAAGCTAGGACGTTCGCAAGTTGCGGCTATTTTTTTTGCCCTGCAGAGGTGGGGGTAACGTTCAAGACATGGCTCGTTTTCGTCTCACGGATACGATTACAAAATTATTTTTGATCGATTCCAAAGTTATGAACCAATTTGGTGGAATTTTTACACTATCCAATGCCACAAAAACTACTTGAAATAACGAATGAGCTTCAGTGATCTAAATAGATGAAATAAACTATATAGGTAGGTAATGATTTAATATTTCAAACTATATTATTCTATTATTGATTTTTATAAGTAATATTTAATAATAGGTAGGTAATTACTTTTCTTCTTTTTAACTCTGGGGATGTAATTAAAGTATTTTCCAATGGGGCTCCATTGAAACTGGGACTTGTCACCAATTCCTAAACATAATAAATTGATATAATATCTTTGATATTTACCATAATTTGTGTACTAAATTTCTAAATATTTCATTATTGTTTAAGGCTCAAATTATTTATATTTTCAGTTGTTTCACAGACTGTTTCATTCAAAATCTCATTGACATTCTCAATAAATGGTAGAGCTCCATTCCTAAGTCTGTATCTTTTTAAGCAAATCTAAGAAGATTAAAATATTTTTATATTTTATAGTTAATATTATCATTCTACAGTAACTATGATTTGGTCAGTATAATTTAATTTAAAACTATTCATTACTGTACATTAGAGATCTTACTGAATATTTGTTGATCCCCTTGCCGCTTTCCCAATTACTTATGACATCAGTTCTTTTAAAATGTTGTAGGCAAATACGATGAGATTTTTTTAATGTCATCCCTAAACTTTCTTCCCATTTATTACGCTCCCTTTCAATTTTTGGAACACCAAATGACGTTTTGGATTGCTCGTGAGGTTTACGAATACAACAATAGTTATGATTAGACATTTTAAAAATTTAAATTTAAATATAATATATACACTGTGTTAAATATTAAATCTACAACTCAATCATTTAATACTGTTTAAATTAATGTCATTCAACATTCAACTAGTCATTAGGACTGTTTAATCTAAATAATAATCAACTAATCAAGGTTTATTTGATAATTAAAAATGAAAAAGTGATTTTGTGAAATAAAAAAACCGTGGAGCTTATTCCGTCCAGAAAGGAATTAATATTAAAACAATAATATACTATAGATTATGAATATTACCGCTAGATCGCGTTATATGCCAGTAAGTTTTTGTAAGCGCTTTCTCCTGCCACTTTTTTTCGTTCGACGCGCAACCAGTCTATCTTAAACCGTGGATAACCGATACGTAACGATATGGTCTTCTTGAAAATCTTGAATATTATGGTTTTACAATATTTATTGGTGATTTCGTGATCCGCAAGCACGCGGCGTTTAAGCCACGCCCACTACTAACAGCCGTGTACCGACCGACGAGTTGTCGAGTTCGGGAGCGTTGTTTATTATCCTATAAACGTTCGTCCGTGACGTATCCCGTCGAAATAAAATTCATACACGTAAATGCATTGCCGCCATAATATTTAAAATATTCGCTCAGCGGTCTTATACACTAACCATTTTTCAATTAAAGCCACTGTCTGCCCAATAGTATACCTATTTGTATATAACAATTAACAATATTATGTAAGTTAGAAAATCTAGTTTCTACCGTACCTTTATTTGTTGTACAAACAACAAAGTTCTAAGGTTAGAAAATAATCTAAGGTTTGAAAATGTAATGCAAGATTCCTCATAAGTTTGTCTACCCTAAACAAAAAAAAAAAAATGTGTACAAGAAAGTCAAATTTAAATTTTTATGAGTGTTTTAAGTTAATAATTTTACAACATTGGATTTCGTTCATTTTCATTTTTTTTTTTAACATTCATTCGATTTCTCAAGTAGCGATTATTTTGTTGCAATTCAAAAACGAAGAACTGTAGATACATGAAAATTTCGCTGAATGCTTTTCACGGTGCTTTTGAAAACTACTTTGAAATTTTTACTTATGTCCCCCCAAAGTAACAACTAGCACTTTCCTATCAGAAAAGATACTGTTGAAGAAAATCTAAGTGTTTTTACTGTCATAAAAGGTGGTGACAGACACAAAAATTAAAAAATTAAAATAATAAAAAAAAACACCCATCATTGTAAAACCTATACATTCTTTCGCTCCGCTCCGAATCTAATATTATTTGTGGGTATTTGAAAGTTTTAAGTACCTATATTATTATATTTTATACAAACAATGATATTTTTAAATGCAACTTTTTCTGGAAAGAATTATATAAAAATTACTATTTGTCGGATGTCGCAACTCTCAATACACTAATTATTTTATGAGATAAATTTAATTTTTATAAATTCTTATATTTGAACACAATAAATAATATGTATTATATAGAAATTATGTTTAAATGTTTTTGATGGGGTTGTTATTTATATTTTATATACAATTAGAGGACTCGATTTTCGATATTTCATACTCTAAAAGGATAAAATCCTTAAAATTTTGGAAACACCTATTTTAAGTTTTAGGCGGGTTGGGGAAAGGCCCGGTGTGGAAAACCCGATTTTTGGTTAGAAGGGATTTTCCGGAAAATTCGCGAATGGTCGTACGAATGCATACCAATTCCGTACTAAATATTCGCGAAAGAAAATTTTGAAAAAACCTATTTTTAGTTTTGAAAGGGCTGGAGAAACGTTTCTACACACACTTTTTTTCCTTAGAAAATAAATCCGTATAAATTCTGATTTTCATCGTACAAATTCATACATAGTCCATACTAATTATAAATGAAAAAAATTTCAAAAAATCTTTTTTTTTTTTGGGGGGGGGGGGGCTGCTGTTGAAACGTTCGTTATAATTCATTCATAGCTCAGCTCAGAGTCTGCAGAGCTAAAATTCATCATCGTTAATACAATAGGTTATTAAGAAGAATATTATTATTGACTCAAAGTTGGATTATATTAAATTTACTTTAACAATGAACAGTGTTGGGTAGTAACGTAACGCAAATTACTGTAACGCAATAACCTTTTCAGTAACGCAGAAGTAATTTCATTACATTTTACTTAAAGTAACGCAATTGTAACAAAATTACTTTTGATATTATTTGAATTTCTATGAAGTAACACACTAACGCGTTATTTCCCATGTTATTAAAATAATAGTTTTGAATGTAGTACAGGTATAGGATATATGACCATGAAGTTAGCCCTCCCACTTTGGCGGATTCACTTCAAACCAAGGTCAATATTTAGCAAATTAATTGTAAATTGGTTTTTAGAATTTGCATATCAAAATTGTATTTTCGTGCTTCATTTTTTAAAATTATTTTTTTTTTCCATTCAATTGTCTTTTATATACCATCAATTTTTTTTTATTCTACTTAGATTTTAATACACATAGATTAAAATAGAAATATAGAATATAGATTTTTTTATGAATATTAATTAATTATTTTATGAAATACTAGCTGATCCCGTGCGCTTCTTTGCCCATTAAAAATACCAACGCTATAAAATTAATAATATGTTTTTTTGTATAATATCACGGTAACCATAATAACAAATTTAAACCAATTATTATTATTATGGCTTTGAAACCATATATAAAGAAAAATTTCCATCGGAAATCTCAAAATCCCTGTTTGAGCACGTCCCGGTGTTGGTCCTCTCTCTTTTTAAATTAGCCTATCTTCTGCCCAGAGGTCTAATCGATCTATATATATAAAAATATTTGACCCCGTGCACTACGTTGCCCATTAAAATTGCCAACTCTTTATGAATAATATGTTTTACATATCACCATGGCAACCATTTATACACAAAACATTCTATCGGAAATTTCAAAATAATATATAATTGGTTGCCATGGTAATATGGAGACACCCACAGACGGAAATCTCAAAATAATATATATACATGATTGCTCCGGATTTGATCCACATGTCTAGCCAAAATGTAATTGATATCGTGTCATGCCTTTCTGAAATCATTTGACTTACAGGGAATTGACCAAATCCTTGACTTATTACCGCTTCATAAAGAAATATATCTGTTGCATAAATATACAACATAGTGAGTCGACCCAGTCATGACATATTTATAAACTATATATTTGGTGGGGTTGTTATCCGCCTAGCCCAAAGGTCAACGCCGGGCTGTTAAGTAGTATATATTTGTATGTTCACAGCCAGCTTTTCCAGGGAAAAAAAAAAGTTCAAGGGGGGAATGTCCCCTTGGAGCACTCAGATTTACCGTGTAACAAATTTTACACTGATTGACTACCAAATTTCGTCTCACGTAAAAAAATATTTAATATTTTTTTCTTTTTTACTCGTGTTGGTTACACTGTTTTTTTTATCTAAAATTTGATAAACAAATTTA